ACAATATTCTTCATTGGAATTAATATCATCAATTGTTAAATGAGACCTAATTAAGAGATTGATTAGTAATAATATATTATTATATTAAATATATAATAAATATATATTGTACTTACACATTAATATATAAAGTCATATAAATGGTCTTTCGAGTGTCTTGAATCCATTGTGAAGCTCAAAGAAGCCATACAAATTAGTATTCCCCATATTCACAATGAATTGATTGGCATACCTACATTGTCAACATAAACATAAGATAGCATATCATCTACATTAAACAAGTGGAATGAAAATTTAGAGTTAGAATATACGTACATCATTCATAACTATATGATGGTAATGTTCAACATTTGGTTACCCTGTATTATTTCAAATGTATCTTGTCCTACATGGTTATGTACAAAGGTACATTATTATTATTGTGCACACCAAAAAGTGTTACATCTCATGGTATTATATATGGAGTTTGATATAAACTTTGTGAAACTCCAATAAACTCCATCGAGTGCATTAGAATGTTGTTGTGGCTTGATATCGGGTGTCATAATTTGCTTTTGCGTCACAATATCCTGCTTAATGATGTATGTCATTTTACTTTTTATTTCTTGATTCATGAGCATTTTCTATTGAATTTTCTAATTTATATTATTATATTTACTTTATTTATCCAGTGTTCATTTTGATTTCTGCTATTTAACTGTTTAGAATTTTTATTCTAGTACTCGCTTAATTCTCATTTTCAATTCATCTCTTTTCCAATTCCAATTCGCAATTTAGTTTTAAAGTTATCACTTCTAGAGATTTCAAATTTAATTACTGCACTATTTTATTTTAAAGCAATGATTGATTCTTGCACTTTTAATTAAAATCACTTTATTTTAATTTTATAAATTTCAATTATTTAAATTCTGTTTCCATTTAATTTTAATTATCGTTAATATTCTATAGTAATTTGATTTTAAATTTTATTATTCTGCATCAATTTATTTCTTTTTCACTCTTTCATTCATACCTTATTTACTATTATTTACTTGTTTTAGAGATAATGATATGTAGTAATGAGTATGTTCCTATAATTGTGTCCTTATGAGATTCGACACATATTAGTTATACTGCATTAGTTTAGCAACTTGTTTATTATTTTTTATCAGTATTTTGTGCGACCAAAATGTTGGTATCACTTAACACCATCACAAACTGAAAGCAATGAGGGGGAGATTGATGGAAATGTCCCTACATTCCCAAGAGATGATTTTGATGATGATTCAAGTCAACTACATTCAAGTTAACACTATTCAAGATGAATTAAGGACAAACTGAATTTATGACGTTGGTGACAATATGAAACATTTTCTTACATGCCCAAGATATGTTTTTGATAAAGATGATGATTCAAGCAAGCCCAAGATGATTCATGAAGACTAGATAAAGTCTTAGAATACTGGATATGGAGGTACAAGTTGATGAAGTAATATTATGCATAAGCCTCCAAAGCACAAGTGTGATAAAATTCATAACATGATATTTTTCTCTGTCATAATCAATTATGATGCATTAGAAATGGAAAAATTATTTTCTCTATCATAATTGATTATACTGGTAACATAATCAATTATAAAAATTCAAATTTGAAAAATATATTTGTTTTGAAGAATAAATGTTTTTAAATATATCTTGATTTTTATTCATGAAAATATTAATGTCCAACGGCCATTTTCTGATGTTATTTTTCTATTTAATTAAGTTTTGATGAAAAAAAAAACACAATTACAGAATTCGAAAATACAATTTACATTCAATCAGTTTTGAGAAAATAATTTTGAGCAAGGCAACAGAGATATTTTATACCTTCTGAGAAAATCCTCTTCTCTATTGTCTTCTGTGCTTTCATTGTTAATCACACTTGTTCTTGGAGATTGTCATTCTACAAGCTTCTACAATTTGTTGTCTTCATTACCCAGGTGTGTCTGTTCTTATTTTTATTACCTTCATCCTTTGTGTATTGGTGGAAAAAGAGGTGGTTTTCATCCCTAGTGTAATTATAGGGAGGTGTTCATTCTTAGTGAGATTCTAAGGAGGTGTTTTCATCCTTTGATTTGTTCAAAGGAGGTTTTCATCCCTAGTGTGATTTTAGGGAGATGTTCATCCTTAGTGGGATTCTAAGGAGGTGTTTTTTCATCCTTTGATTTGCTCAGAGGAGGTGTTCATCCCTAGTGGGATTCTAGGGAGGTGTTCATCCTTAGTGTGTTTCTAAGGAGGTGATTGTCTTTTTAATTAGTTTACTTTTTACTGGTTCTTCTACTGAGTTGATTGTAATTTGTAAACTGAATTTGAAAGATAGTGAATTGGGAATCACTCTTGTGTTAAGAGTTGACTGGGAACTGGATGTAGGGTTGGCTATACCCGAACCAGTATAAATCACTATGTGCTCTTCTCTTTCCCTTATCTCTTTCTCTTTTCCTGATTATATTATCGCTTCCGCTTTATCTGTGTTCAAACAAATTATTGACTCACAAATAAATTTTTAATTTGACATCTATTTTAATTTGTGCATGTATTCAACTCCCCTCTAGATGTCATTTGTCTAACACAAACATCAATATACATAAGACATATATTCATAAAATTAAAATTTAATTACATACCTTATTTTTCTTAATGGGTTGAATTAGATGTGTAGGTCATGCAATGAATGTATGAAGGGTTTGTCCCACCAATTGAATCTCATTTGTGGACATAGGGACCATAACAATAGCATCTTTTGATATCTTGAACCACTACTCTTTTATAACTCGCATCCAATATCATTGAGTGTAATGTGGACCCTCCATACACTCTTCTAACAACCACAAGATGAGGAGAATCTCCATCCACAAACAATTTACACCAATAACATATTTCAGTGCTAGCCTCCTCAAATATATCCACATTATCAATCACAGCACTATCTTTTGTACTAACACGAGCATGAGTAAGAGGTACATTCTATTGATTCTGTTATGAGATACTCATGGACTTCATTCATTCTTCAAACTCACGCCTCCATTCCTTTACAAGTGTGCTTCTTAATTGTTCCTCTATTTATTATTCCAATCTTTGTGTTAGGGTGGCTGCTAGTTGTTTCATCACCTCTTGACTTACAGGTCCTTCATAACTACTAGGGCGAGGAGGTATTTCAAAATACTATTGGACACCTACACAAAATCCTGTAGTACACACACGACCAGGGTGTTCCAGAGTGGCAATAGCAATGGTCAAAAGTACCATGAGAAACAAAAGTACCTTGAGAATTCTACTCAAGTAATATGTCCTGTAAACAAAAATTATTAACAAAAGTTCGTGACAATATCATTTCAAACTTACAAATTTACAAAATTATTATCTTATATTTTTTTTGCATAAACTTACAATTCGATCCGCAATCACTCTAAATGTGTCATATGTCATTTGGTCTGATGGTTTAGTACGAGTCATCTTTCATTTCTCATGTGGAGTAGGAAGGGATGGAGGAGACACAACTTTTCCACTGGAGGAGGATTCATTTGCCCTCTTGGCCTTCTCTAACACAATCTTCTTCTCCAACAAGTTATACCCCCTAGATAATCTATGAGGAGGAATATTCTTTTGTTGAATTTCTTGAGCTTTTTTCTTTTTTCCTATGAATAAAGAATAAAATATAAAATATAATTGATTTTTATAAATATTAATTACATGTATTTAAATTTACTAAATAATATAACCAAATATGCCATGATTCATCCTTTCTACTTTAAACAAATATCTCTAATGTTTCTTCATCTATACCATATTTCTCACATGGAGATTTTTCTTGATATTTTTCAAATATATAGTAATTAGTCAAATTTATCTTAAATTATCTCCATTTTGTAGCTACTGGAGGACATTATCTTGTTTTGTATGTACTCCGAAGTCTCAAACTCAAAGTTTGTCTACAAAAATATAAATAACATATAAAAAATAATTAAAATTAAACAATCATATAACAAAAAAATAAATAAATAGTAATAATTCATATAAAAAATGTCTTCCCAAATCAAATTTTTGTCTAATTCTAGAACATGATCGTAGTCAAAAATCAAAATTGAAATCTTAGATCGAGCTAGGATATCCAAATAAATCACAAACTGTACATGATTAAGTCTCGAACTCCGTGTGAGAGTCAATATCAATTAGAACTATTGCATTAGACAAGCGTCTAAGAATGAGATGCTACAATCGTATGTCTCTTTCGTTTTTCTCCTCTCTACTCTTTCTCCTAGAGTCATCCATTAATCTTATAAAAATATATAAAATTTATTGCATTTAAATATAAATAATCAATCATAATGAATAAATTAAATAATAATAATAATATTAATTTTTTTTTCTATTCTACATATATTGAATATTTTCCCATATTTTTTTATTATTGTAACTTATACTTCATTATATTTATTTTAGTCATTAAGAAAATGTATTTGTGTTAAGAATGAAGGCATGTCATTAATATTAAGACTTGAATCTTCATGACGTGTTCAATTATTTTCAAAGATCATCATGTTCAATTATTTTTCATAGTCATCGTTAACGTGTTCAATTATTTCTTTTAATACAATTGACCACCTCTGATCTTAAACATAAAATATTTATTTAACTTGGTAAACCATGATAAAAGCATAATACAATTGACCACCTCTGATCTTAAACATAAAATATTTGTTTTACTTATAAAAGCATTATTCTTATAAGCTATTTTTTAAGATTAACATGAATCCAATATTACTATCTAGTATGTACCCATTAAGTATTTTTATTTATCCATTTACACTTAAAAACCCATTTACACTTAAAAAGGCACACTAAATTTGATGTAATCAACCTCTTAGGAATGGGAGCTGGATGTGGAGGCGTTCGCGGTGGCTGCGACAAACGGGGATTTGGAGATGGAGGTGTGAGTGGCCGACTTGGGTGGTTCGATAGAGGCGGCCACAGGGTGGCACATGGTGGCGTGGCCGCGAAGGGCTGGTGAGGCGATGACCGGTTCCGGTGAGGGCAAGGTGGTGGAGTGGGGGTTCCACCGGAGAGAGGTGCGAGCTGCGGTGGTTCACGGCGGAGGCCCAAATTCGCGTGACTATGGGCTGGAATTTGGGGTTCGCGATGAAGGAGAGGGAGTCGGTGAGGTGAGTTTTTTAGGTGAAATTTTGAAGCGATTTGGAGAGGCGGTAGATGGTGCTCGTGCGGTCAAGGTTGAGGATGGAGGTGCGGTGGGGGCTGAGATGGTCGCGCGGTGAGGCGCTGCAATTAAAAAGATGGAGGTGCGGGTTCTGCGCAAGCTAAGGCTTCAAGAGGAGAGTGAATGAGATGGTGAATCCGAAATGAGGGAGAGTGGAAGCTCAGTATGGGTGAGTGGGATGTGGCTTGCTGCAAATGGTGAGGTTAGGGAGATGGAGATGCGGTGGTGCAGGTGCTCACGGGGAGTGAAGGCTGGTGTGGCCTGCGACTTAGTGTGGAGGAGGGGGAAAGGGATTATCGGGGATAGTGAATGAGATGGTGTTGGGGGCGGAGCGGGGGCTAATTTTACCTTCCAGTCTCCCGATTTTTTTAATGATCTCTTTTCTTGTTACGAGAAATTAAGTCCGTGCCCCATCCAGCTCCGATCTCTCGTTTTCCATTTATATTATTTTAAAAAATAATTATATTTATAATAAATTAATTTTATTAGTTATTTTTTATATATAAATAAATATTTATAATTTTTTAATTTATAATTATTATTAATTAAATATATATTTTAATTTATTATATTTATATTAAAATATATATATAAAAAAATATTTAATCATTTTTTATTTATAACATTATTATTATTATTATTATTATTATTATTATTATTATTATTATTATTATAATACTGTATTTAAATATTTATCCTATATTCAAATTATATATATATATATATATATATAAAATTAATTCATTTTTAAGTTGTTATTTAAAAATATGAAATATATAATTTATAAAAAAATATTTAATAAATTAATTATTATTCAATTAGTTTAAAATAATAAAAATTTAAATTATCAATTCTTTTAATCCTTTAAAATATAATTATTTTATTAAGATAAAATTTGATTTAGGATAAATAAAAATAATAATATAAAAAATGACATAATAAAACCTAATAAATATAAATTATAAATAAAATAATATTAATTATTATTAAGATTTATGTAAAATATTTAGAAAAAAGATAAAAAATAAAAAAAATTAATTTTATGTTTATCAAATTGATTGAAAAGATTAAAAAAGAAAACAAATTGATAGGAGAAATAAAAGAAATGTGAAAAATTGAAAGAGTAAAAAAAAGAATAATGTAATAAATTAATTGTTATAAAAGATTAAGAAAAACAAAAAAATTAGAAAATAAGTAGAAGAAAAATAAAAATTGGTGAAATATAAAAAATTGATTTTATATATAATAGAAAAAAAAATTTAAATTTTAATATTTTAAAAATTTAAATATAAAGTCGAGACGTAAATAAAATCGCATGTAAAGTCAGGATTATATTATCCATCCTCTTCCCTAACTTTTTAAATTGAAAAAACTCAAATCCGTCCCAATTAATTCGAATTTTTTATGTCAAACTGGGAGCGGAGATAGATGATCTATGCGGGAACTAATCCTTATTACTGCAGAAATTGAGTGAGATTGAAGGGTGTTGGAATCGTAGGTGAAGAGCGGTTCGCGAGAGGTCAGAGAGAGGGGAAAGCCAAAATAAAATAAAATAAAAAGGCCAGTCAAATAGAATAAGTAGGAAAATATACCTCAGTGCCTCTTCTCTCGTGCGCTTTGTGTCCACTGTGTTGCCTCTTTTGTGCGGTCCCTCCCTCTCTCTTTTTACTATTCATTTCTTTTAATTTTTTATGTCAAACTGGGAGCGGAGATAGATGATCTATGCGGGAACTAATCCTTATTACTGCAGAAATTGAGTGAGATTGAAGGGTGTTGGAATCGTAGGTGAAGAGCGGTTCGCGAGAGGTCAGAGAGAGGGGAAAGCCAAAATAAAATAAAATAAAAAGGCCAGTCAAATAGAATAAGTAGGAAAATATACCTCAGTGCCTCTTCTCTCGTGCGCTTTGTGTCCACTGTGTTGCCTCTTTTGTGCGGTCCCTCCCTCTCTCTTTTTACTATTCATTTCTTTTAAAGATATTTGTTAGGTTAGAAGTGAGACTATAATTAGGTAACTAAATACACGGATTTCCTAGAAAGAGGTGTAAAATCAAATTTTAAAAAATATTAAACATACGAATATCGTTATTATTTTAATATTTTTTTCTTCTTTTATGCTTTTTTTATGTAAAATACTATAAAGGAATTATGTTTCATTTTTTTTTTCATTTTTTTAATAATACTTTTTCTTTTTTAGAAAAAGAGGGAAATATAAAGAAAAATAGAACTATATATGTTTTCTTTTTAATCCTATATTTATTTTATATTTTCAACGTAACTGTTGCTATTTATTATTATTATTATTATTATTTAATATTTTTACATATTCACTGGATAAAATTGGATTTTTATTATATGATATGAAAATTTATAAGTTTTGTATCATAGTGAAAGATATATAAAAATAGAAGTACTAATTTCGTCAAGTTTTGAAAAAGAAACAAAGATGATGGAAGAAGAATAAGAAATCACAGGGCTAAACGGATACAATGACCAATTCCATGAAGAGGGTCACGATCCAAAAAGCAAACTCTACCATTCTCAAGGAGAGGCCTTGTTCATAACGTAAAAACATGGATCCCATTGAGAATTTGGAAGAAAATAGCAGAAAAGAAAAAACTGATCTAATTCATATATTGATCGAATACAAAAGGAAAATCCAATATATTTTAGGAAGAAAAGAAGGTTAAATATAAAAAGGAAAAAAGTCAAATATGCAGTTAGTCAAACCTGCATAAAACAATACAAACAAATGGAAAAGGTACACGTGTAACTAATAGCCTCCCCTCAAGCTGGAGAGTGAATATTAAGAACACCCAGCTTGGAAATATTGTTAAGAAAAGGTGAAGGATCGAGAGCTTTGGTGAAAACATCTGCAAGTTGATTTGTAGAGGAAATGGGAAGAAGATGGAAGAGGTTGGCCTGCACACGATCTCTGACCACATGACAATCAATGTCAATGTGTTTGGTGCGTTCATGAAAGCTAGAATGAGTAGCAATGTGACGAGCAGCTTGGTTATCACAATAGATGACAACTTGATTGGGCTTGAAGATGTTGAAATCATGAAGCAAGTAATTGAGCCATTGAAGCTCGCAGCTGGTGATAGCAAGAGCCCTGTATTCTGCTTCTGTTGAGGAACGAGAAACAATGTGTTGTTTTTTTGATCGCCAAGAAATCAATGAATTACCTAAAAAGATACAGAATCCAGTGGTAGAGCGACGAGTTGTCAAACATGAAGCCCAATCTGAATCACTAAATCCTTTCAATTGAATGTTGGAATTGGAAGAGAAAAACAAACCTTGACCAGGATTAGCTTTCAAATAACGAAGTATATGATTGACAACAGCTTGATGGAAGACAGTGGGCTTTTCATTAAACTGACTTAGAAAATTAACAGCGAAACTTATATTTGGTCGCGTATTTGTAAGATACAAAAGTCGTCCAATAAGGCGGCGATAAGCATCTGCATCACAAAGATCAGCATTATCATCGAAAAACAATTTGGTGTCCTTGATAATAGGAGTAGAACATGGTCGAGCAGCTAGATGACCACTGTCAGCAAGGATATCAAGAGTGTATTTGCGTTGACAAATGTGAATGCCTTGTGTAGTACGAGCAACTTCTAGGCCAAGGAAATATTTTAGTTGTCCCAAATCTTTAATCTGAAATTGTTGATTAAGAAATTGCTTGACGGTGTTGATTTCATCAATTGAATCACCTCCAAGAATTATATCATCTACATAAATGAGTAAAGCAGTGAAGGAAGAAACATTTTTCTTTGTAAAAAGAGAATGATCAGATTGAGATTGTATAAAACCAATTGAAAGAAGAGAAGTAGATAATTTGGCAAACCACTGCCTACTAGCCTGTTTTAATCCATAGAGGGATTTGGTTAAACGGCAGACCTAATTTGCTTGAGGAGGTATCGCGCCAGGGGGGGATCCATGTACACTTTCTCATTGAGGTCTCCATGAAGGAAGGCATTATTGACATCTAGTTGAACAAGATGCCAATTCTTAACAGCTGCAATAGCAAGCATGAGTCTAACAGTGGTAATTTTAACAACAGGAGAAAAAGTGTCTAAGAAATCTACTCCTTCTAATTGAGTGAAACCCTTAGCCACTAGTCTAGCCTTATGTCTTTCAATAGAACCATCAGCTTTATATTTGGTTTTATAAACCCATTTACAACCTATAGTTCTCTTTCCAGGGGGAAGATTAGTGAAATACCAAGTCTTATTTTCTTCTAAGGCTTTTATTTCTTTACGCATAGCATCAATCCATTCAGGGTAACAAGTCTGCTTGTTTATAAGTAGTAGGTTCAAAATTGTTAGAAATAGCAGGAATGTATTTCAAATGTTTTGAAGATATTTTTTTATAAGAGAGAACAGAAGATAGAGGATAAGAAATGATACTATTTTTAGATTTGTTGGTGTTGTCATCTCTTGAAGGATTGCAATAAGAATCTGAATTGTTGGAGTTGTCAGTATTTAAGGAATTGCAATGGAAATCCTGCAGATAATATGGTGCCTTTCTCATTCTAGTAGATCTTCGAGGAGCAGGCTAGTTAGGTGTTCGATTGGAAATATCTTCTTCGTCACTTGGAAGGAAATATCTTGAGGATTTGAAAACGGATGCACATGATTAGACTCGACTTTCTTATGCATGAGATTGTTAGAATAAAAAAAGAATTGAAAATCGATCAATTTGAAAAGATCGATGTCATCAACAATATTAGTTTTAACATAGGGAAATTCATTTTCATAGAATATCACATTTCTAGATATAGAAATTTCTCTAGAATGTAAATCAAGAGTCACATAACCTTTGGTGTCGGGTTTATATCCAAGGAAAACACTTTTTCTGGCTCTAGGATCTAGCTTCAGATGCGGTTGTTATGAATTGTAGATGTGAAACAAAGACAACCAAACACTTTTAAATCATTAAGAATAGGAAGTTGATTATGCAGAATTTGGAATGAAGATTGGTTCCTTATGGTTTTACTTGGCGACTGTTGATTAGGTAGATAGCATGAACAACAAGCATAGGACCAAAAACATTTTGGAAGATTGGCTTGAAATAACAAGCTACGTGTGACATTCATTATGTGTTGATGTTTCCTCTCTACCCTTCCATTTTGTTGAGGTGTCTCTACACAAGAAGTTTGATGAATAATACCATTTTTATCATAGAATTCAGGATAAGAAAACTCTTTCCCATTGTCGGTTCCGAAAATTTTAATATTACAGACCAAATTGGTTTTTAACAAGGATAATAAAATTGTTCAATAGACTCCTAGTCTCATGTTTATTCTTCATAAGAAAAAGCCATGTGTGTCTAGAGAAATCATCAACAATAGTAAGAAAATATCTATGACCATGTATAGAAGAAATACCAATGGGACCCCATATATCTATATGAATCATTTCAAAAATTGTACTCGGAAACATGAATACCGTTATTAAAGGGAAGTTTATGTTGCTTGGCCGAATGACATACATCACAAAATTTTTCAGTGCTATTATGAATGTAAGGAAAATCTTTAATCATATTTTCAATTATCTTGCTAGAAGGATGTCCCAATCTGTTGTGCCAAAGATTGGAAGTGGAATAATTTCTGCTACGAGTATTAATACTCGGTGTTGTCATCAGTAGACACAATTGAACTATTATTACCGATGTTATTAATATGAGACCAAGAAAAAATAGTATCTTGTTTCGTAAACAATACAAGCCATCTTTCAGATCAAGCATGCCCAATCATCTTCAATGTAAGAACATCTTGAATCTGGCAATGGTTAGAAGAAAAAATCAATTTACAATTGGAATCAATAATCAGCTTTTGAGCGTAAATTATATTAAATTCAAAATTGGGAATATGAAGAACATTATAGAGTGTAAGGCTATTTGAAATACAAACCGTGCCAAGATATTCAGCAGTTGACATGATTACCATTAGGTAATTTCACATGCACAGGTCTGATTTTAGTAAAAGTTAAAAAATGATTTTTATTGTAAGCTACATGATCAAGTAGTCTCGAGTGTCTATAATCCAAGATGAACAGAGAATACCTTTGGAGTCTTGTTGATCACCATTATTATTTTTAAAGTGATTGACCCTATGAGTAGTGTCTTGATTCTTTTCTTGCGTAAGTTTTAATAGTTGTTCAACTTGTTCACCTGTCACCGACTATTCTGAACAATGTGCACTTGATTTTTTTATTCTTCTTCTTTCAAAACGTTGTCAGTCATAACAGTGTTGACAACAGAATCATTTCTGTTATTTTTAAACCATGGAGGGAATCCGTGTTTGGCATAACATTCATCAACAGTATGGTGCAATTTATTGCAAAAAGTACACTGTTTACCATAGTTGGAATTCCTCCCATGTCCACGTCCTTGGTTCTTCCAAGATCCACGTCCTTGAGTTTTCCAATTTCCTTGATTGTTAAAATTCACAATAGGTCCTTGATTAGCAACTGTCAAAAGAGTATTGGCATCAACGTGACTCACTCCCGCCAATTGTCGTTCTTGTTGCGTAATTAACGAAAAACACGATTGATTCCTCGGGAGAGGCTCCATTAAAAGAATTTGAGATTTTGCAGTGGTGAAGACGTCATTTAATCCCTTCGAAAACATATTACATGTTCGGATTCACGATAACGAGCAATGATTTTGAAGGCTTCACAAGAACATTGCAGATTTCATGTACAACTAGGAATGGGACGCAAGGATTCCAACTCTTCCCAAAGAATTTTGAAATCTGTATGGAATTCGAAACGCTTCTTTCTCCTTGCTTAATGGAGTGCAATTCCTGTAGCAGATCGAAGTCCTAAAATGGTCTCCTTTTGAGAATCGTTCCTTGAGATCTTCCCAAAGATCTCTTGCATTATCAATATATACGAGTACTTTGAGCAATTTGATCACTTAAAGTTCGAGTTATCCAAGAGAGTACCATGACATTGC